ACATCAGGTACTCTATATGCCTCTGCGTCAGTCAGATCTGAACCCAATAGACCGAAAACCCCGCAAAAAATCCCCGTGGGAGTGAGAAAAATCACACAAACCTCTCGAAAATAAATAAGAACGAAGAAACATGCATTCAACTCTTTCACATTAATTTTTTTTTAATTTCACCAAAAAATTAATTCAAATAAAAAAACTCAATAAATTATAAATAAATAATAAAATGGTAATGTTAACACGATAAATAAATTTTTTAATCCAAAAAATAATATCTAAAAATCCTCACCGATTCACAGCCCTCTCCGGTCCATCCTTTATCACAGTGGCACACGCCTTCGTCACCACATCGTCCATGACCGCTACAGTCAGGGATTTCGCACCAATGAGCATGCACATCGCATTCCTACAGTATACATTTTCAATGAACCTAAGGACCTTTTCGGATTTTCGCCCACTCACCTTTCCTTTGAACCCAGTCCGACAAACACATGCGCCACCAGAGAACACTCCATTGCCACTACACACTACAGGGCAAACGGCTGAAAAAGGACATTCGTCAAATTCGAGATAATTCTATTCTTTCTACTCTTCTATTTTATTTCAAAGGAAAAATTCAGTCAGCAAACAGAAGCCAATTTTCAGCAAGATAAAACTAGGCAGTTTTTTGGGAAAAATAAGCAAAAATTCAGCAAAGTTGTAAGTCGAAATTTTCAGCAGAAAAGGCTGTAAATCCTTGGTACAAATTAAATACAAATATTTGAAAAATGTCGAATTTCAGAATAATACCTAAAAAGGAAAACAAGTAAAGTAAATGGACACTAACGTTCTTCGCAAGCTTCTCCTGTATAACCAGAAGCACATCGGCATCGTCCACCGGAAAGGCATTCACCATGACCATTACAGTCAGCATCGCATCGAACCACTAGTGGATTTGTACCGTCAGCAGATGAAGACGTCGGAGCAGCGATTGAGTAGGCCAACAAGCTGATTGGTTCCACCTGCAGGCGAAACAAATAGGATGACTATTTTCAGACTGAAGGGATATTCGGACAGCCCAGGAATGAGTCAAGGCTACTTGACGAAGTCTAAAGGGGTGGGCCTCAGTAGGGGTTGAAAGTACTTGAGAAAATCAAATAAAAAAAACCAATCAATCGGAAATGAAGCCCAAACAACTCACTCGATTACGCTCGTTAATCACCGTCAAATACCATCGGCCATCTACCAAAAAGTGCTCGAATACGGCATAACGTGGAGCCTGAACAGAAACCATTAGGTACTGTGACGTAATCGATAAATGCTCCTAATAAGGAAATGCTGAAAAATTCTTCACAAGTATACACTCTGACTGGAAATAGTTCTCATTATCGGCGAGGGTCAACCTTCCTGGCCTAGTCAACTTTGGGATATGTTTTTCAGGATTTTAAAGAGTAGATCGACCGCATTTGCTCCCCCCCCCTTTGACAACACTTAGGGACTTTCAGCCGCGTTAGCTGGCAGTTGTGTGGAGAAAGTCAATGACACCAAAATCGATATCACCACCCGACCGGAGGTAAGAGAGGGAGGGGTAGGGAAAGAGGGGAGGTGGACAATCACCAATTTGGCAATGGATCAAGCATCTTGGTTGACCTGGTTCATGGTTCTCTCCAGGAGGGAGGAGAACGTCACAATTTGAATGCATTTGGTTAAAGGTTTTTTCATCCTCCAATTTTCTTTTCCTTCTCGCCCTATTTTAAATCACCCCGCCTCTTCTGCAGCTGCGGAAAGGTGGCAAATGTTTAGAGAGCAAGAGCGTCAAAAATCCCTTTCTAGCGGTCCCAAAGTCCCGCATGATACCCACTTACGCTCAAAATGTACGAAATTTGAAAATTCCCCACGTTTGAACCGAGGATCAACTCCATCCACAATCGTTAGAGAGACCCTTCCTTAAAATTTCACTCACCAACATCTCCGGAGTCTGCCGTTTGCTGCTCTGGCTGTCTCAATGCTGTGACTCGGTGACGGTGGTGCAAGTCGATCAGCTCTCAGTGGATGATAGAAGTCGTGCAACGACAGTGACGGTGGAACCGCATGCCGTCCCAGCAGCACCATCTGAGCTCCAGCGCCAACGCTGACGTTAAACGCGACACGTCCAGCTCGTGTGATGAACAATTCACTGAAAGGACAGAACCTTATACTGGACCTTAAAGGCAGTGAGCACGATAATTTTGGGTGGGTTCAGAATGGAAGTGGGGGTGTTAAATATTGCGCCAGGGGTCTAATAAGCAAATTATGTTCAAAACCTGCGAAAGGTTGCCCTTATTTCATTTTTCATCGCAGACAAGTTTGCGGCTTGGAAATGGCTATTTGGGTGAGGGTACCCTGGAGGGATTCATAGCGCGACAAGATTACTACATATGGTTGTTTGACACCCATATGCGCTTTCAAAGTGATTTGAAAGCGGACTACGGTCGCATCGCAGTACCCCAATTGTGGGCGGAGCTATTGTAGGACGGAGCAATTTTTCAGGTTTGCGCCACAACTAGCGGTCCTATGTCGCGAAAACGGTACCATGCGCTTCATTTTCCCCCTAGCAACTACTTGCACATGCTGCGGCGCTTATACATCCTCGGTGCCCCTCCATATTACCATAACCTCTGTCTTTAAAAAAAACTATGGCAACGTTTATTTAGTGTTTCGACGAAAAAAATGTAATCCGATAAATGGCGCTTGGCAGTTCTGCGCTTGAGACTGCCCAAGACGCATTCAATTAGCGCATCCGCACATTCTTTCTGTTCACTAGCCACACTTCCGATGCAACTAACGACGCCAAATTTAGGCTTACATATCCGCTGAACTCAGAAAAACGCGATGGACACGCTAAGAAAAAATAGAAAGGGCATACAACTGTAAAGAGCCACACAAAGATGTCAAAGTCAAAAGTCAAAGTTGAGCAATAAGGAAGCGCAAAAAGGTAGATAGGAACCTCAAGGACTGCTAAAACCAAAATGGGACAATTTATCCCAGTCTTGATTGTGGACCAGCTGAGGGAGAGCAGCTCCATAAATTGCGTTGCGACTTGAGGATCCAAATCCGCTCAGGCTAACCGAGCCATCCATCCAGCTTGATCCTCACCAACAGTACCGAGCTTGTCTGGGAGGGTAAAAACATTACCTTGAATAATAGCTGGCCTTACCAAGCCACGGTCGCGTTCGCCTAAGACCTAGTTGAACGCAAATCCAAACGAATGTCGAATGCGTGGCTCATCCCAAAACTGACTGGTCAATTTCGTTCTTCTTCTGGTTTGTACACAGCTATGGGAAATTTGGGTAGAAATTACATGACAGTACCTGTTGTGCAAATTTGTCCCTAGATATAGCCCCAGTAGAGCTCCCAGAAAGCTGAGCGCACAGGGCAGGTTCAATTTCGTTCAAGAATGAGATTCTATTGCCTAATCTCACATGTCACCCCATCCAAATAAACCTATGATCCTTCAGATCAAATCCTTAAGCTCAAACGCTGAGCACTGGGAGAAGGGCCAGAGCTGGGGTCAAAGCTCCAGGACCCCTCCCATTGTCAATGCTGGCAGGGATAGTTGGAGCCATCCGTTCCCAAACGTGTTCCTTGGCCTCCAGCGAACGAATGTAATACGCGGCTTCGTAGACAAAACTTTGAATGAATCTAATTTGAAATTCTATGTGGCGAAATGCAAACAAACATCCTTTCTCACCGAACGCGACCACGGTCAACACAATCAACAATGCGAACTCCACTAAATGCGTTCGAACCGGACGAACTACTAATTAGTAATTAACCAGCTAGAAAAAACCAAGCCGCGATGTGCAAACATCAATTATCTTTCCTGCGTAATGCGACTTATAGCAGGGTTTTCACAGAAGCTTTGTTCCGTCCTCCTATTGGCTGATGAATACCGCTGACCAATGAGGAGTCGATGTCAATTTTCTGGGATAAAATGGATAAATGGAAGGCACTCCAGTACAATTATCTTTCTAGGGATGCGCCATTCTCCATCTGTCCGGCAAAGATATTCAAAGCAAGAACTAGCTTTGAATGGTATGGCGCGCGATCGGGATGTGTAAATGCAGTGCTCCTGAACAGGCGCGGTCGTTATGCCTATCCAAGACGATGCGAAGAGGTAACCTAAGTGCACACAGCCCAATGTGATGCGGCGGGCGGCGGATAGGCTCTGTTCTATGGTAGTAGCGGCTACTTGCAACATAAACCTGCTGCGCCTTCTCTGATCATAACACTCATGGTATGTATCATATATACGACAAGGCATGCGAAAGGTCACGCAAGGGAGAGGAGGTGTAGAGGCGTATTGCAGAGGCTTAGAAGCTCCCACTAACAAGTGGTGGGCCAAAACCAATAAAATCAATAATCGAATTACTCACGTGCTTGTCATGTGTTGCGGTAATATATCAGCTTCTACTCGTTGTCCTAGACTAATCACCGACGGTAGCGGTCGTAAGGACTTTTCGTCGATTAGATATCGGGCATCCGATTTGATAACGGATGTTTAATTTGTGCTGTAGAACATAAGAAGGGCTTCGTCACACGAATCCAGATATGATTGAATGCGATAGGGCCCGGGGTGTGGGGGGGTGTACGAAGTCAATGTCGACATGGTTTGATAAAATGACTCAACAATAATAAGAAAATAATAATAATTAATGCTACAAGAAGTGCGCCACCGAGAAATAAAGCACATGGTGACGGCCGTCGTGTTGTATACGACGGCTTCATGCTCTCTTCGGGTTTCTTTATCGACGTTCGCCTGAAAATCAATATCAATCGATAACTTAGACCTGCTATTCTCCACTGAAATATTTTTTAACTGTCATTTGCGCTTCCAGACCACAAGAATCCTTCAAAACCGCCCTATCAAACAGCAAACTAGAGGACCAATCAATAAAATAGCCTAGTCCATAGTTTATCAGTACTCAAAAGCTGCGAATCAATGGTGTTTGCTGCAAGGGAAGAAAGCTTCCATTGTCGCCAAAGAAAACGGAAGAACCAACGCCCTCTTGACCGGACAATTTCAGTTACGTAGACTCAGTACGAGACACGGAGAGACTGATTAATAAAAATCAATAAATCAATACAAAAAGAATGCTTACTTTTTAGGGTGCTGAACTATCGAGGCTGTTGTGGGTATTTGATCAATGCAGTAGTAGGATCCGACGACCTAAGAGTCCGGCATCTGGAAAGTTACGAGTTGATTTATTAGACAATGGCAATGGCAATCAATCGATATATCGATCGGCCTTCGATGTAAATTGTTCGAAGCACAGCATATAAAATAGAAAATAGAATAAAGAAATGTGATTTGAATCCTAATATTAACAAATTAGTACTATAATCTAATAAAATGAAAAAAATCAACTCGAATTCTATTACTAATAAATTAAATTAATTCTATATTATCATAATAATTTCATTGAAGAAGGTTTGGCCAGCAGAATTTCTTCCACGATCTAAAAATGTCAAAATCAGGCCACCAGAACTCTGGGAATTCTGGAAATTCTTCTGAAAATGGCAAATAAATCAATAATAGTAAAGGTGAAGACACTTTTAGAAAAGATAATGAAGAGCTTCACAAGAATGCTGAGCTATGAACAAAACTTTCGCCCCAAGCGGGACTCGAACCCACACCTCAACAATCAAAAACAAGTCATAAGGAGGAGCTACTTATAAAAAGGTAAAAATAGAATTTTATATGGATTCAGTCAGAAAGAGTGACTATGAGGTAGCAGTAAAGTCGCTGCATGGAGGAATGAAATGTTTATAAACACGGCGCATGTGGTTTTGCAGATTGAACAGCTTTGAAGTTTTCAAACTATCGATTTTAAACTTAAAACTTCGATTTTAGCAAGTGAATTTTTGGAAGGCAGAGAAGCTTTCAAAGTAACATTTCGACTGAATACAAATTCAAGAAAACAGGTCCTTAAAAGGTTTGAGCGCTTGACTTAGCCATGCTGCAAATGACATTAGCTCAGTGCTAATCAAAGGAACAGGCTAGCGCTTGAGCTGCAAATTGGACAAACGAGAATGAGTAAAGGCCGCGCGGGCGTGTGTGGCCGTCTAGGGCTCAGCCATTCACCATCACTGATTCAATGTCCAGTGCTCGTCTAGTCAAAAGGCACCCGTAATTAGCGCGTTTGGCGGCTGGCCAGTAGCGATAAGTGCATCAGTGCTAGCTGAACGCTTATTTAGCCGCCTACGGAATGCGATTATAGCCAGGTGAGCCGAGCCAGCTGACAGCCTGCTGTATGGGTGGGGTCAGGTGAAATTGGATCAAATCACAGCGGAAATAATTCGTTCTGGGAACCGCTAGTTCGACCTTGTGCCCTTCAATGACCCTATTTGGGGTTCACCATTTCATTAAGGGCCAAGAAGTTGCATTCATCGCCTCAATCGAATGAACTCTTCAGAGCTGAATGATCTTCGAATAAGGACTTACACAGAAATGAGCAATTTTTACGTGTTTTCTTCCTTTAGAATCCAAAACAGCCTTACTGCAGAGGAGAAAACGCATGATTCTTCAAAGGGGGCGAGGGTATGGTGGCAAGAGGTGAGTGCATAATGCAACCAGCACACTACCATGGATTGAGCCTAACCAAGGCCAAGCGACTCTTTTAGCCCTTCGTGGTAAATTGAAGGACATCACTGGAAAGGAAAAAACTGACTTTTATGTATACCAACTGGCCCCGCACTTCAGGAACAAGGTATTCAAGCATTTAAGGTATACAGCGATTCTAAATGGTAGCAGGATGCTCGGTGCGCCCTGCAAAAAAGGAGTCAAAGAGGGATCAACGCCAAATACTTTAGCGCTCAGTCTCTTATGTTCATTCGAGGCCTTAAGGATAAGATATTATAAATCCACTCCCGAAGGATAAAATATTATAAACCAACTACTCTTTCAACATAATAACCATTGGAATCGCA